TGGTTTTTCCGAGAGACCCATCTGAAGAAGAACAAAATCTTGTGAAATTACGGCGTAATGGGGAAAAAAGACTGGAACTTTGACACTGTAAGAAAGGTTTTTGCTTCAAACATGGAGAAATCGAAGATGCAAAAACCCTAGTAGTGGGTGTTGAAGTTAGGAAATGGGTTTTTCGAGATGATGAAGTCAGAGTGAAAGGAGAGATTGAGACTAATGTAGAAATCGCCATTTTTGAAAAAAATCAGCTTTAATGCTTCCTCATCTGATCATTGTTGCTCAATCGATATTTCAGAAGAAGCAAAAATGACTGAAATATCGATCGGAACTTGAGGTTGAGTTTGGTGGTTTTAGAGTAATTTGACTTCATCGGAATCGGGGGAGGGGTATTATTAACCAAAATATATATTTGGGCTAAATGTATAAACTCTGTGAAGTACAGGGTAATTATTAAAATAAATGAAACGCGCCGCGTTCGTGTAATATAAAAACGGCGTGCAGTGCTATTCTAGAATAAGCTTTTTTGTTTTTCCCCTTCTCTTAAAATATCTTCTTCGTCAGAAAGAACATCGGAGAAGAGGAAGAAGATCAGTGATAGAACTATCGGGAAATTATTCTGAGGAGAGATTTGGGATCGAGTTTCAGTTTGGAGAAATAATGGAAGGAGGAGAAGAAGAAGTGAGTATTAGAGAGCTAGCTTCGAATCTCTCTACGTACAAAGAGCAACTCGAACAGGTTCGTACGATTTCTTTCTCTCTTCGTTTTAGGATTTTGTATGTGGTTGCAATTCATCGGAGTTATATAATTATGGATGCTTCAGATTTGGTGAAGAACAATTGAATTATCGGTTCCTAGATTGGATTAGATTAGGGTTCTGTATGATGATTATTCTCGAGTTAGGGTTCGTAAAGGATGCTTATTTAGGGATTCATTGGTCGAAAAAGTGTTTCTAAGTTTCATTATATCGTTTTTCTTTGGAAATCAATCAGCCTCTGGATTATCTGATAGATTCTATACTCTTTGGTCTCAGGTTAGGCAGCTTTTGTCGGAAGACCCTAGAAACTTGGAATATGCAGACATGGAAAAGGAGCTTAAAGAGGTGATCCATCCATGTGAATGGCTTAATCTTGGTTTTGTGTGATCAAATCTTTTACATTTTTGTTGTCAATGTCATTCAGTTTATTTGAGGTTATTTACCACTATACTAGATTAGGATACTTGAGGTTCTAGGTTTTCAGTATCAGGCCCCTTTATGTTTCTATTCCCTACCTCTTTTGAAGGGAATCATCAGCATGTTGCTCGAATATAGCAACGTCATTTAACAGCTAGCGGATACAGTGGGAGTTTTGTGTCAATTCTTGGGTTTGAAAGGTGAGTATGTTTTTGAGTGCCATGTAACTCTGCCAGTGGAGTTTGGGTCAGCCAAAAGCAGTTGTTGGAAGTATACATGAAAGTAGGAGAATTAGCAAGGAATTCATCATTTTCTATCTTGGTTGTTTGTGCAGGTGTGCTAATATGGGTCATGATAGCCAGCCTGCTTCTATCTCCTGATTTCTCGCGTTCGATCTCTGAAGTTCTTACTTTTGAAAATCTTAATAGATAAATTTTGTGTGATATTGTTAGAATTCTCAATTATCTGATACTTTGTTCTGCATCTGCACCACGTAGGTGATTGCATTGACTGAGGAACTTCTTGCAACTGCGAAGCAAAATGAGATTTCTCTATCAGATGCTGGAGCAACTGCTGGATCACCCAATTTACCAGAGGGTACTTGGGGGAAATTGGTAGGTCTATTCTGTCATTTTATCTCTTCTCCTTGCCATTTTACGTTTTCAGCTCTCTCCATCTGTTATCTTACCTCGAAATACTGCTCTAGTCAGTTCTCTTACCAGAAACAAAGTTAATTATGTGATATGTAAACCTGGATCCCTGTCACTTCAAGCCCACTACAATTTTTAATGATTAACGCATAATTGTATTCCATTGTTTGTCCAGGATTCAAGGAATGACCCAATTCATGAGGGTAAGTTCCCTGTTGGAACAAAAGTTCAAGCTGTCTTTAGTGAAGATGGCGAATGGTATGTTGAAAAACTCTTGGTTCTCTAGTAATTCATGATGTATCTACTGTATTCTTTACATCTTCTTCCCCTTTTTATCTTCTTTTGATTAGTTAAATGTTCAGGTATGATGCGACCGTTGAAGCACATACTCTAAATGGATACTATGTTGCCTATGATGAGTGGGGAAACAAGGAAGAGGTAATGCTTCTGTTCCCATTTGTTTGTTTATATCGAATAAAACCTAATGTTGAGGTTGCCTTGTTACAATTCAGGTTGATCCAGATAACGTGAGACCAATAGAGCACAATGCTCTCTTGGAAGCTGAGAGAATAGCTGAAGCTACCAAAAATGCTCTCAAAAGAAAGATTGAGCAAGCTGCGAGTTCTGATTATCAGTCTAAAACTTTACCAGCAAAGCTTAAGATCGATCCTAATGATCCCGAGGATGTGGTAAGTCTAGATTAATTAATTATCCTTTTCTTTTTGGTGGTCCTATGAGGTCGTGTTTTGTTATTGAACTTATGATGGCTCACCTGTGTGCAGAAAATTGCAAAGCGTAAGAAGATACATGCTTTCAAGTCAAAGGCGAGGCAGGAGCAACTCGAGGTTGTACAGAACAAGAAACAGAATGCGTGGCAACAGTTTCAGACAACAAAAGCCAAAACTAAAAAGGTTGAATATCATATCGCGATTTCAGCTGCTTGCTTTTCTTGCTCTCGGATTCTGAGACGGGGTTTTGGTTGTGTTGTTTTTTGGCAGGTAGGGTTCTTCACAGGGAGGAAGAAAGAAAGTATTTTCAAATCTCCAGAGGATCCGTTTGGAAAAGTTGGTGTGACCGGAAGTGGTAAAGGTTTAACAGATTTCCAAAAGCGAGAGAAGCATCTTCATCTCAAGTCTGGTAATGGTGAGGGCACTGATGAATGAGGAGAGAGTTTATGTTTTGAAAGGGTTTTTTTTTCAGGTACTTAAGAGTCTTTGTCCTGTCTCCAATAACCTCTAAAAAACTAGAAGAAGAGATCTAAAAACCCACAAGGTTTTTGTGGATTTTTGGTCTTTTGTAAGTTGAATTAAAAAGATTTAGTTTTTGTTTCTTTTCGATCGCTTTGTTGACAATAGAACCGAACAATCCAATGTCCTTTGGCTACGTTCTAGTTCACGGGACCGTCAAGTGTTTGGTATACCATTTCTATGTAATTTACACTCTTATATAAGTTTAAAAGTTCTGGATATAGTGTCATTTAAATTTAACAAAAATACATCAACAAAGAACACAATAACACACAGAGATATGAATCATGTGATTAGTTACTTGCAAATGACAAGAGAGAAAATAACAAATAAAAGAGGCTCTTTTAGAGCTTTTAGAACATGCATGATTCTCCTTCAACATAATCTTGTACATCTCAAACACAAACACAATGAAAGACATACGGAGAGAGTGGACATAAAAGCAACAATCATAATCTCGGTGATCGTCTCTTCCTTGTTCGTGTTGGTCCCAACATGTGCTGCGTGATTTGTCTTGCTATTTTTCTTTTCAACCGCTTTGTTTGTATGTAGTTGACAACAAGATTAGAGAAAACAAATAACATGATCAGTAACATCAGTTACTTGCAATCAATAGTGAGAAGTGAGAAGAAAACAAGTAAAAGAGGCTCTTTTAAAACAAAACAAAATAAACTATTTTGAACGAAAATGCATTTTTAACATGCGCGGAGAGGGTGGCCAAATTGAATTTTGGATTGGATTTCTTAGGTTTTAGACTGGATTTAGCCTATTTGGATTAAGAAATATCTTACCTACATATGACTGGATCAACATGTTATATATTACTATGGACTATGGTTCAACATTGTTAGATTAGATACAGTTAAATCTCTAATTTGTATGTCAAATATGATTATAGTTTTGATTTTCATTTTATTAGTTACACTGATAAATTATCCCTTAATTAGTTTACTTACAAAAATCTTTATTTTATTAGCAAATTTTCGAGTTTTCTCAATGGAAGTCGTTAGAAGATCCGACAATACTAGTTTTTTTGAATATTTTGTTCTTGTTTGAAGTCTTTTTTAAACGAACATGTTTTACTATAGTTTTCTAATTTTAAACGGTTATGAACTCTTGTTAGAATATATAATTCTTCCATGTTTTTTAAGAAACATTTCAAACATACTTACTCAATCAACCTAAAAAAATTAAAGAATAATAGAAGCATCCAATTTAATCACTTCAGATTTGTGAAGTTTCGATCCAAACCGGTAATACTTGAATTTCACTTTCCTACTACCTTTAAGTTCAAGTCAAGCCATTAGGTCATCATGCTTGCCTTATAAGTTGGC